AATTTAATTTAATCTAAACTGGTTACTATTTCTTTGGAGTATGCATTCAATATATAAAGTAAGATTTTAATAAGCATAAAGAAATTGATAATAATAAGAGTGAAAAATAAAACAGTTGATATATTTTAAAATTATTGCTGTTAATCTATATTTAAGCAGATTCCTAAAATCATTGAAACCCCACAAATAATTGAAGATTGATAATCCAATAAATTTAATCTAGAGGTTCTAAAAAGTATAAATTTAAGATTCAAAGACCAATAGCATAATAGTTTAAAAAATATTAAGAAGCCTTTTAATATGATAGAATCTTCATAAATATTAAGAATACAATAACCAATTCTTTGGTAATAATCTTAATAATCTCCCAAAAGTATGTTTATGGTTTATATTCATAATACAGATATCCAATAAACTCTTACCTCTTTTATACTAAAGTTTATCTTTATTATAGACCGGACTTATGAGCAAACCAAAAGGTATTATGACTCCAAATAATAATAACATTGGAACACATAATATAAGAACCAATTTGTTATGAATATCTTTATCAAATCTATATGCAACATAAGCTTAAATCCAAAGAACATTTGCTATGGTTCTAATAGAAACCATAGCAATAAATGACCAATTAAGGTTGACTAAAAATAAATATACATATAGTTGACAGCAGTCATGATTATAGGTGATCTGTATTTGATATACTTCATTAATATAAAGAGGACTTAAATGATAGCCAGCATGAAAAAAAAATAAATACAAGAAAGCAATAGCTACCAAATCAATCTACTATAGTGGATATCTAGAGAAGTCATTTAAACTATATAGTATATAAATTTACTTAATTAACAAACCATAGAATATGAAACTCTTTAAATTGGATTTCCAACTCTATTTAAAAATCGAAAAAATTAGCTGGCAAATCCAATTAAAATGAATTTAATGAACTAATTATTTACAAATAATTTGTAAGTATTTTTATTAGAAATGGAGATTCCAGAAAGGAGTTTTATGTAGTTATAGCGCCTTTTACACTTAGAACGATAGTAAAAAAAGTCCTTTAATCATAATATACAATATATAATATCAAAGACTGAATACTATGATTTATATTATATTGATTCTAATGTTATCACATGACCCACAAGAATACTCTTAAGCTGTTGAAAATGATCCATCTCATCTTATGTTTTCAATGTCAAATAATTCACAAAGAGCTCCATAATGGCCTAAAAAACAAAAATCCATTCCATATTTCCATCTTCATTGAAAATTCTCATTAAAATTATAACATAGCTCAAAATAATTATTATCAAAATAAGGTCTCCAAAATTAATAAGAGATTGAAACACTATATTTATCATTTGAACTCTTTTTGCAGATTCTAATCATTAAGTTAAGAGAATTATGTTTGATAATCTAATTTAATTCAAATTTAAAACATTCTCACATTGCAATAATCTTAACAAAAAATAAAATAAACAAAAATTTAATCATATTAGATATTTTCATTATTTAAAGAAGGTCTTAAGCATTAATAAGTAAATATTTAATTTTCGTTAGTCTTAATGAAAAGAGAATTAATATAATTACTTACCCATTAAATTTGTCCATTCATCTTCACTTCTCTTAAATGTGCTTATTCATTTTATATCAAACTTAATATTTTTATTACTTTTTTATTGTTTTATAAAAATAACTACTCAATTCTATATACCTAATCTTTATTATTGTTATTATGCTAATATTTCTTTAGGTATGTACAAAAAAAAAGATTTATTATAATTTTCTTTGATTCTATTATTCTATTATAAATTTACTATTCAAAATGGAAGTTTAATGGATTTCATAGAAGGGAAAATTTATCAAAGACTTCAAATATTCTCTAGTTAGGGTACTCAATCAATTAATTATATTGGAAATTTATTGGGGAATCCAAATGAACAATTAATCATAATATAATACAATTCAATATTGAATGATGAAACAGAAGTGCTTAAATAAATTAAAAGATAATAAAATGAAATACAACCTAGATGCCAACATATAATTAAAATACTTGGAATATAGGATTAGACATAATCAAAATTATTAATTGTTATGGAAAAAGCTAAAGGCAATATCTTAGACTTAATCAATTCTTATAAATCTCTTAGTTTCGTTTAGAAAATAAGGATATTTGAATTAGTAAAAATATTATATTTTAAAAATGGTAAAAGGAGTGATAGAATTACATAATTTAGGTTATTTTCATAGAGATCTGAAACCAGAAAACTTTGTCTATTATGAAAATAAAAATAAAGATTATAAGGTCAAATTAATAGATTTTGGGTTAGCAATAAAAGACTCCACAATTTATGCTACAGAGCTAGTTGGGACTTTAAATTACATGGCACCTGAAGTAATGGTAGCAAAGGAGATATATGTTAAGACTGATGATATTTGGAGTTTTGGAATTATATTATATGAACTACTTACATCATAAAAAATTTTATAAGGTTCTTAATTTAATTAATTTTAGCTAAGAACGAAAAAGAATTCAAATAATAAATGTTTCAGTTATCTTAAGAGTAGATAGATAATAAAATAAACAAAGTGGATGATATAGAATAACAAGAAATGAAGTTAATAAACTAGATATTATAAAAAGATAGTAAAAAAAGAATTAAATTGGAAATGTTATTATTGAAAATATATGAGTATTTCCATAAAATAAAGTAATAAGAAGAAGAAAACTTATTAGAATTACAATAAATAAGATAATCGTCGATTAATAAATTGGAACTCTTTAAAAGTATAATTGTGATATTCATTTAAAATCTAAATTAAAGGTTAGAAATAGTTAATAATATATAAGATAATAATCTCATAATGGAAAAAATTATGAAATAAAATATTTTACTTGAATAGCAAATAATGAAGGAAAAAGAGGAATAATTGAAAATACAACAAGAGTAGTTATTGAAAAAGGAACAAGAGGAGGAATTTAAAAAAAGAGTAAGAAAAATATCAATCTTTATTTTTAATTGTTAGATAATTGTCAAGTTCATAAATTACTCAGATTAAAACAATTTCAGAAGAAATTAACTTTTATCAAAGAATCTAAAGATATATTTTAGGAGAAGAGTAGATTTTATATGTGATAACATAGCATTAAACAATAACATAAGAAATCTAAGGGTTAGAATTATAGGTCAAGATAAAATTGTAATTTGACTCATTAAACAAAAAATTACTATTTATTAATAATTTAATATCATGCTTTAAGAAATTTAATAGGCTTAAAATAGATTCAAAATATCAATTGAAAAAGCCAATAAATCTATTGTAGAAACAGATAGACAATATTTGGATGAAAATGATCAATAAATATATGAATTAAAGGATTAATTAAAAGATTTATTGGATAAATTTTTATATTAATCTCAGCATTAAAAATATAAGGATAAAATAAATGAAACAATTTATTCTATAGTAAGGGTTTGTAGTAATTTAAAATTTCTTGACTAATTAATATAGTAACAAAAAATATTGGAAGCATATTAAGAATACAAAAACAAATATGATTAGATTTAGTAATTTTTAGAAGATAAATAGCAATAACATTAATAATTACATCAATAAATTTACAATGATTAATACTTTGAATAAATAAATGGAGAAAGAATAAAAAAATTAAAAATAACACAAGACAAATTCGATTAATTTAAAAACAAAATGAATCAATTAAAAGATTAGATAACAAATTTGTTCAATAATCAATATTACAATAATTAATAAACTAAGAATTTAACAAATAATGAATTAATAAAGATTGATTAAAAAATATTTGAGTTTTAAAAGTAATTTGATAATTTTAATGAATTGAATACATAAAATTAAAATTCTTGTGAAATTATTCGTAATTAAATAAAATTATTGGAAGAGTTTAAGAGAAAATAAAAGGAAGTAAAAGAGAATGAAATAGAAAAAGTAAATTAATTTAAGCTGACTATTGAAAAAAAAGAAGCTGAACACAAAAGTGAATAAGAAAAAGAAATTTTTAATTTAATTAATCAATTATAGAACAGATAAGTTGATATGTGTAATTTGATTAAGTAAAACCTTAGGTCCAAATGCTCAAGTGCATTTATGACCAAAGTATATTTAGAAGATTGATCCTATTGAAGAACTGAATTTTGCAAAGATGTAAAGTGAATCAAGTTAATGCATATATTACTTAGGTATATTTTTCCTTTTTAATGAGCTGATAATATCGGAGAACTTTATAATTAACATATAGTCTAATTGATATTCATGGAGGTTTATTTGGTAATAAGTATGTTATTACTAAAATCAGTGTAATGATTGGTAAGTTCAAAATCCTATTAGTAGTGATTCAAATGAGCAGATAATTCTTTAAAATGAAATCCTCAAAAGGATAAAACTTAGAAGTCATCAAAAGATTAAAAATCAGAAAGATAGAAATAAAATAAATCCTTGTAAATTGAATTCATTTTTTCTCAAAATCAGAGAATTTGGCAAGATATATTCTAAAAAAGAAGATTTAGAGTGATGTATTAAAATAAGAGATTTTTGTATTTCAAAATCATTGTGGTTGGTAAAAGAAGTCATGCATTCTGATCAAATTGTTTTAGTTTGTTTGAGAGAAAGAATCTAAAAGTGTTGGATGTTTTTGAAAGAAATTATGTTTAAATAGATGAATGATTATTTAACCAACTTAAAATTAAGTATAATTATTGGATGGTGATTAGAATCTTTTTGAGTAACATATTTAATGATTATTTCTTATGAGGAAGGAGTCTAGCTAACAATATGGAAGTATTTGTAAAGTAGTTGGATTAAAAAGCAAGTTTTAAACTTTAAGGAGTATGTGGATAGAATTAAATTATGTCTATACAATATAGGAAACTTTAGTGATCCTCTCGTAATGAAAACATCTTTTAGAAGTTATTAAAATATTAATTTAAAAGGAATAAGTGATTAAGGATTATAAAGCTACGAAAGAGAATAAAAGAAAATACAAAATGATGAATAAAAAATTTAATATAATTGATAAATACATAATATTGAGAGATAAATTCGTTTATGATAAATACATAATATTGAGAGATAAATTCGTTTATGATAAAAATTAAAGTTTAAATTTTCATTCTCTCTCTATTTATGACATATTAAATATGATTGAAAAAAAAGGCTGATTCAGAAAGAACAAAGAAAGAATAACTTTCTAAGATTCCAGTATTCTCTAACAGACTTTATTGTTACTGGGCTGACTTATAAGTCTAAATTTCATAAAAAATGTTCATCAAAATCTTGAAAAGAAATTCTGAGGTAGGAATGATTCAAAATAGTTATAAAAAGGGATTCTGGAATGTTTCTTTTGCACTAAAATTAGAGATATAGCATCTAAAAGAGAAAGAAAAATACTATAAATAAGGGAGAAAAGCATAATCACTTTATTTAAAAAAATACTCTAAAAATGTAGAATGATTAAATTAAATTCTTAAATTTTATGCTGCTAGTTTTAAGAAATTACTCTTAGAAATCATCTTATAAGTACTTAATCATTTCTACTACTCCATCAATGTATTTTTTTTAAAGATGATTTAGAAACACAAATAACCCATAGTTTTCTTATGGATCTTTTATACGATTTATTTGATAATAATTTCTTAACAGAATGTAATTATAGTCATTTCATTCTCAAAACAGACCTTAATCTTTTATTGTCCATATGGGTGATAATCATATTCATCCTTTTTTAATTCCTATTCTAAGTTAATTAGGTTTAGTATGTCTATATTTATAATTATTTTAAAACCTACTCTATATTTTTCATTACATTCAAAATTTTTGTTGATTTTTTCCTTTTAAAAACTTATCTATGATTAGATATTTACAAGTTAATTAATTTACTAATTCCTTAAACTCCTCCAGGCCTATTAATTATATACAAAATGCTAATACTCATAAAGAAATCTAAATTATTAAAGATGCTTTCAATATTTTTATAGCTAGCAAATCACAATTTTTTAATTGTTTCGTTCCAATTTTTTTAGAATAACAATTTTTATGATTTTAATATTTAGATTCATTAAAATATTGTTCTGATGTTTTACCCAATTGAGAAATTTTTAAATAGATAACATCTTTAACTTTTTATTAATTATACATTTTTTTTTAAATATTATATAAAATGATTTTATAAGGTAAGTTTATAAATGATTAATATAAATAATTAAATAAAAAAATGTATAAACCAAAAATGATAGAAAATGAAAAAAATCTTCATTATGTAATGAAACCTGTCTCAATGGATATTCTAGATTCTAAACTAACATAAAATTAAAGGCTTTTGTATTAGGAATGCATTGATAATTTCGAATCAGAGTAATAATATAAGACAATTGGATTAAAAAAAATTGTTTAGAAGATTGAAGATCATAAATAGTAATAATTAAATATTATAGAAAATCTAATTATAAGTAATATTAAATAAGTTGAATCATTCTAAATACAAATCAATAATTTAAAATCTATGATTATTTAATAATTAGATCAATTAATTAATAATACAAAAGATTGGATATTAAATTTAAAATAAACAGGATCTAAATATTAAGAATATAGTTTTTTCAAAGAGTTAGATTTAATAATAATTAATGAATAAAATAATCAAAATGAGTAAATTAATTGTTAAAATGAAATTAAAATACTTAATCAAAGTTAGATTACAAAAATCAATTCTAAATTAGAATAATTCAAATCATTTCAAGAATATCAATAATTAAAGAATATATTGAATAAATTAAATGAATAAACATAAAATATATCTATAATTTAATAACAATAACAATTAAGTCCAAATCAATTATTATTTATTGATGATACAATTGAATAAAAAGAAGACTGTAAAGCAATTGTATTTGATTCAACAGGGAAGATTATGGTTTCAACTTGTGGAAACAAAATAATAATTTGGAATTTGAATAATGGAAAAATTGTTAAAGTTCAAACACTTTTAGGACATTAATATAAGGTTTATTGCCTAGTATATAGTAAAATTCAGAATTATTTTATTTCTGGATCAAATGATGGATCAATTATATTATGGAAATAATTGAATAACAATCAATGGTAAAGTTCTAAACCATAATGTGAGCATAAGAAAGATATCTATTGTATAATCTTAACATAAAATGAAGATTAATTAATTTCAGGTAGTGTAGATTGTATGATAAATGTATGGAGAATAGATTTTATTAATAATCAATTAACATTTCTCTATTCTTTATAAAAACATACTAGTATTGTCAACTCATTAAGTTTAAATGAATCAGAAAGATTATTGGTTTCATGCGGAGATGATAAATTAATAATAATTTGGTAAAAAGATGCAAAGAATAAGTGGGCTTTCTAGTATGTTGTTAAATAATCAATTGAAGATATTGGAAATTATGTTAAATTCATAAAGGAAGATTAATTCATATTGGTTCCTGATAAAGCCAGTTGTTTATGTGTATTTTAACAAAAAGATGGTCAATTTCAAGAAATAATAGAGAAGAAAGTTTAATTTAAAAAAGAAAATAGGCCTCCATCTTTATATTTAACATTCTTCCCAATAATATACATTAAGGATAAAAATTTAATATCTTTGAAATATAAAGATTATATTATTTTACTCAAAGAGCAAAATGACGGATAATTTTCAATTATTTAGGAATTAAAATGCCAAATTTGGAATATATAAGGAACAGTAACAAACAATGGATAATATTTAATATATTGGGAAGGAAGAAAGATGAAATATGAGATATATGAAATATAGTATAAATGAAATAAATAATTCATTATAAGTATTAGATTTCATTATTCTATTTCAAAATATAATTATTTTTTCTATTCTTTCCTTAAGTAATAAAAGGTATTATTGACTGCAAGATTCTAAAAAGAAAAGAATTTTTGATGATGAATTTTACATTAAAAAAAATTTAATTTCCTTTAATTTAAATTCTTTAAAGAAAAATTTATATAGTGATTTTCTTATTTAACCTTTTAATTGCAATCATATAAACCTATTTTTATCTTCGACATGTTAGTAAAATGATTTTTCAATATAGATTTTTATTTTTAAATTCTTTACAAATATAAAATTCAACTATTTAAAAATTAATTAAGAAATAATCTTCTATTTCATAGTGAATTGAAATCTGAAATGAAATTTCACTATTTCTTTTAGTTTCTCTGAGTAATTATTTACTTAATATAAATATTTAATTGTTTTGATTTATAATATTTAAGAGAATTTTAAGTGGTGATTTTTAATAAAATATTTTTAGACTTAAAAACATGCAAACCAATAAATAATATATGAAATCTGGTTGGCTAATAAGTTGTAGTCTATTTTATATCTAAATTTAGAATTATAAGGAATACATCTAATTTTGAATATTTAAGAATAAAAACTTAAAGTTGTGAAATTAAAAATTTTCCAATCATATTTTTTTATATGTTGATGAATTTTTTATAAATTTGAATTTATATATTAAAATGGAGAAGAGAAGAATTTGGAACTTGTAAATGAGCAACCTAGTTTACAAGAAAAGATTTAACAGTAAGACATTTAATCACTTCTTAAATTTATAAGAAAAAGTATATTTATGGATAAGAAGATTCCAAAAATAAATAAGTATTTTTATTTGGGAGCATTCTTAAAATAAATAGATAGATTATAATTATAGAAGATATTTGAATATTTTTGGGCTGTTGCAGAGTATATCTTTTTTTAAAACAAATTGAATTATCTTGGTCAAAATGAAGAATTGCCAAAAGAAATAGTTGGTCGTATTAATGAATTGAATGTTTAGATTGTGGCTTGTTAGTGAAATGTTGAAGTATCTACTTACAAGAGGTAATAATATATAATTTATTAATAATGTTCTAATTATTTATGACAGCCAGTCATTTAATTTAATATATGATGATATAAAGGCTACTTAAAATATTCAAATTTTAGTCTTCTAATAATGTTAAAATATTTTAAAAATTAACTTGATATATTCATTTATAATATTAATTTTTTCTCGACTTTAACAAATAGTAAACTTATTCATAGTAAAATTAAATTTACAATATTAATTTGAAGAGATTAAATTCAATAGTCTTATGAATACTAAGGTATAGAATTTTTATGTTTATTATTAATGAATGTTTATCATATTTAATCCCCTGAGTAAATATCACACTACATATGTAATTATATCAAATAGAATTTAATTTAATTCATTATGTATAATTTTGAATCTAGTGCATAAACCGTTGTAAAAACTCTTTTCTACAATTATTAGATATTCTATTAAATACTTACATATATATTGAAATTTAGTTTTTGTAGAGGATATAGAATAAAATCTTTATCAGTTGCATATTTTTAGATAAATCATTCTCAAAAAATAACAAAAAATTAGAAAAAAATATGTAATGATCTTATATTAGCTGATTAAATAGATTTTGAGAATATATTGCATAAAGAGAATTCCTTTAATAATATATTTAAATCCAAATTTTTATTTTTTCGTTTATTAAATCGATGAACGGTTCTATTATTGTTTGGAATATTAGGTGTGTTATGAAATTTATCTAAAAAATTCTTCTAACTCCATTATTTATGTTGGCTTTAGTGAAGCTATATTAGTCTAAATTAACGTATTCTATTGTAATTTTATAAAAATGAAGTTAAGGAATAAATATTATGATATTAAATTGTAAATAAATCTTAATTAGATTAAATTTAATTATATGATTGAAAAGATTCTTTTCTTTTAAAACAGAGGTGGAGTATTTTAATTAATTTATAAAAAATTCTCTAGAAATTGGAGAATTTTAATATTTATTATCTATATATGCACTAGATTTGACACCTACTAAAGGGCTAGAAAATTATCTATACTAGAGAAAATCTTACTATTTAGAATGCTCACTAAATTTTGGATCCTATATTTTCTTCCTTTAATTAGATACAAATATATAGCAATTTGGCTTTAAAAGAAGAGTCAAATTAATTAAAAGTAAACACTCAAACTTAATTCATTCAAATACACAATATGACTAAGGAATCAATAAACTGAAGAAATAATTGATAAAATTATTGGCCTCTTTGAACTTGAGTTTAGGTTGTAAAATATTTGGATAGATAAATTCAACATGATATCTTTAGGAATTTTGTTTTCAAAGACATCTAAAAAAACATCAGGCTAGCTGGAATTATTTTATCAATAACAAAGTAAGGGGGGACTTCTTTTAATTTGCCAACAATTTTCAATAAAACAATATAATGAGTAAATTTATAATCTAGATATGGAACAAGGATATGCCTTACTCTGATCATCCATGAAAATGACATCAGTTTAAATTCAGGTCTACCATTCTAATCCCTATCCAAAGGATTTTCTTTTTCTAGATTTCTTTTTTCTTAGTCATTCGTTCAAGGCTTATTTTTGCCTTTCCATCAATTAATCAATCGATACTTTTGTTTTTTCTTCTAAATTTAACAAATTATTTGGATTATCAAAAATAATTTCCTTATTTTTTGGAGTTCTTTCTCTTGTTATTAAAGTTTTTAGGATTCATTCAGAATCTGGTAAACTATGCAGGATAGCTGCATTAAACTCAAAAGATTGTTAAGCTGAAAAAAATGTATTATTTTTCTATTAGTTATTTATAAGTAAGATGTTTTGAGTAGCTATTGATTTTCATACTTGGGAGTAGTTATTCTATGAAGTATTTAATTATTTCTATAAGTTCTAAATAGGTAAGCCATTTAGAATTAAGGATGCTTAGTATGAATATAAAGTAATTGGCAAAAAATAACAACATCACTCTTAACATCTCGAAAATAGAATAAAATGCGCTTAATTTTTCTGGGGAATTATAGAATTGATTTGTTATTATTTTTGCTAATTGTTTGTTCGTCCATTTACTAAATATAGAAATTAGAATGTCTAATTTTTATAAATTGATTAATTCTACTCCATTTACTGTGTAATTAAAATGATTTAATCAATTGAAAGTTAGGATGGGAAATAATTTCACTCTAATCATAATTAAAATGAAAATTCATTTTATGGTTTCTTGAAATTCTAACATAAATAAGGATTTGAAATTATCAATATTTTTTTCAATAATCTTGTTTAGATTTATAGCTAAGCAATTAAATTCAGATTCATTTTGAGAAATCAATCTGGATATTATTTCAAATTAAAGTAGTATTAAATTATCATGAAATTTTATTATTTTATTAGGAATTTTTAAATAATATTTTTACATTGATGAAATGAATTAAATATAATTTATTATAAAGACTAAATTCATTTAATGTGCAGAATTTAGCTCGATATAGTTAGTTCTAATCAATAAATATATGTGTATATGAACAATAATTTTTGATTTTTTTTTGTTTTAGAAAAGACTTCTAGCAAATTTCAAAATTTCAAATAGAATGGATAAGCCTTGCGCATTTTAATTTTATCTGTTGTTTCAATCAAAAGGCCATAGAAAATCTTAGGAAGTAAAGGGATTAATTATTATTGCTAACTTAATTGAAGCTGATAAGGAGTTATAGGAATGTTAGGTAAAATTAGGTCCCAAATCCATGTTTAGAAATATTAAGTTTTAAAAGTAAGGAAAATTTTTAGATAGTATTATTTATCCCTTAAGATTCTGAATAAAGGCTATGAATAAATTTAAATTATTTTTTGATAGAATTTATTATTTATATGAAAATATTTATTTTATTCCATTTTTCTAAATTTATAAAACTAAATTTCAATATTTTTCATCTTTTTTCACTTAAAATTATTATGATCATTTTAAGATAAATGTTTAAATGTTTAATAATACTCATTTGAGGCTTCATCAATTTTTCTTCGATCCTCTACCTCCTCTTGGATTCTTGTTGTTGGATTTATTCAATTTATCTTAACCCTTCTAATCCTTCTTAATCTTTTTAGAAGGTGAAGCAAACTGACAACGCATTTTAAGATTATACATTTTAATAATCAAGATAAAATAAATGATTAAATAATTTATAATTTTTTATAATATTATTCATTCTCAATCATATCATCTTGTTTAAATTTCCTTCGATTTCATATCTCAAGTCATCAAATACTTTCCATTTTTAATAATCTCCAAAATCAATAGATTATTTTGCTATAAATTACTATTTTCATTCTTCTTTACTAGATTAACAATTTTCCATTCTTATTTACAATCAAAAATTATCATTTTATATATTATTCAGGAAAGTGATAATAAAAATTTTTATTACTTTTAACACTAATTTCTTTGTCTTTCAACATTATTTATTTATAATATTCATATTATAAATATTCATTTTATCATTTAAATTAGGTTAAAATGAGAATACATCATCAGAGATAAAACATAATCGATGACAAAAACTTCAACTGATATCTTTTATATGAAATTCCATTTTAACTCCTATGATGACTGTTCTATTATCAATATTAACTTATCTCCTCCGCAAGATATCACTCTATTCTGTTAGTCATTATACTTAATCCAGATACATAACTTGTATGATGTATAATAATTTATGAGCATACCCATTGCTACTACTTTTACCCAAATTTAATTATATTATCATCACTTCTAGATATGATAACATTTTGATTATTGTTATTTACTTAACAATTAATACAATAAGAATGTTCTTCTAATTTCTAATAGCATATCCATTAATTAGTTTGATTCATATACCATATTACAATATATCCAAAATCATCACTAGATATAAATTGATTCTATTTTTTTCATAAAAATTAAAGTTCTAACATAATTTGAATGTTCACTTATTATTATTATTTAAATTATTTTTAAGAGGGATTTTGTTATTATACATCTATTTAATTAGAGAGGAGTCAAAAATAATAATTCTTTTACAAAAAAAATTATATTTTTTTTGGCTTATTATAATCATACTTCATTATTATTAGATAATTTATTAATTGAATTTACAAAATCTATATATCTGTAATACATTATTTCAGATATTTCATTCATTTTTTAAGTATAATCAGTCTGTTTTTAGATGAATAATTTTAAAAAGTTCTTAAATTAAATCAAAATTATGATAAATTCCATGGAAAATTAGATATTTTTTGATATTTCAAGTAATTTAATAATTCCCAAGGGAATAAAGCTTGTTAAGCATTATTTTATTGTTATTGTTTTTAAAGAATAGTTTTTTCTAAATGAAGGAATGAAGTCTTACATTTACATTAATAAAAAGTAATTAAATGGTATAAAATTCTAATGTAAGAAGAGAAAACATCTTTGATAAATATAATACTAAAGTTTATGTATCTCAATATTTGATTTAGTTATCTTTTAGTTTATAAACTTGGATGTGGAATTTAGTATTGAGGATTTTGCTTTTATGTTTATGAAAAGAGATTCATATGGAGCCATAATTCTTCCTGTCATTTTCTTTACCTACTCTTCTTAAGATTAATGAAGGAAATTGATAATGATTAAAAATTCAACTCTGAATAAAATATATATATTTTGTGTAATTCATATAATCAATAATTTAGACTTGTTAAATGTTTTGATTTAAAATAATTTTAATTTATTAAAATTTTGATAATTATCTTTTTATATTTTTAATATAATTTTCAATAATAGAATTCAAATAATTCCTCAACTATATGAATATCATATTTTTCAATTATTTTTGCTTTTTCAATAATTTTTAACAATAATAATCCTTCATCAAAAGGGTTTATAATTTAAAATGTGAGTGTTTAATCTTCAATACTAAGAATACTAAAATTATTGCATACTTTAATTAACCATTTCTTAGAAGAATGTAAGAATGATTAACATCAGTTGTAATCCAAAATTGATCACTGTTAAATTACTAAATAATTTATGGTTCTTAAATATTGTTATAATTGATGACAGATATTTTGGATTAATATTCAACTTGTCTCATTTGAATTACTTAAGTAGATCCTGAATGAAATTGATAAATATCCATGAAAACTGATGGTTGATTAGCAATATATTAATCTCTAACCTAGTGATTTTTAAGTTTAAATGATTACCAAAGTTGCTATAAATTAAGGTTCAGGTAACCAGTTTTAACCATTATAATATTTCCTTAAATCAAAACAAAAAATGCTTGGTCTTGTAGATGAATCATTACAATTTACCCAAATAGCAACTTAGTTAGGGTTAATCCAATTTGTTACATTTATTGTTGTGTATGAACATTAAAATTAAGTGTGAATGATATAGAATGCCTGCTCCATTAAATGAGGTTTAATAAGAAAAATTTCAGATTTACACTAATCATTATCCTATCCAAATCTGCTATAGTTTTTTTATCTACTTACCAGTTGTATAACTACTCTTATGAAAATATATTATCATAGTCAAATTTGACAACAGGTTTTAATTCAAAATTTGTTTAAGAATCATATTTTAGAGGTAATACTCTTATGGTGAAATGACAGACATTATTCTTTGAGTAGTGCTTTTCTAAATCTTATGATATCAAATATTTAATTTAATTCTTATCACAATCAAGAAAGAAAACTTGAAATTCTAAATAACAAATGATATATTACATATTTTATCCATAATGTCTATTTAGTCCCTTGATTTAAACACAAATTTATGATTAATTTAATTCATATTCAAGTCTAATAATTTCATCTAAAAATCTGTGGGATCATGAAATATCAAAACACTATTAAATATTTAAAAATATTACTTTGTGCAAATTTCAAGGAAAAACCTTATGTTCTGTGAAATCTATCCTTTTTAAGTAATTACTTGTTATTTGATATTGTACAATTCATAAAATCCATTGTCATAATAAATAAAAGCTAATTTCTGTTTTAAAGGGAGGATTCTCTATATCCATTAGGCTTAGGCAGAGCTTTTTACCTTAATTTATACTAATTTGAGCATCTCTTTATGCTCTAAATCTTCTTGGATCATTTTAATAGAAATAATTTTTTATAAAATATAATTCTTTTAAAGCATAATATAATATAGCATTTTTTAGTTTCTTAATAATTAATTTTGTTGAATTCTGATATTAGTACTGTATTAATAGTATCTTTATGATTAGAAAACATTAATTATCTGATGTCTTAAGTCCAAACCCACCAGAAAGTTTCCAATCTCTTTATTTTATTCAATATTAAATTTATATTCTATTATATTAAATTTATGAATAATAATAATTATTAATATTTTTAAAGTATTCATCATTAGATCTTAAGAAAAGAAAGCCTTTTATACAAAATATTTGATATAATGATTTGATACTATTTTTCTTCCTCATTTTTATCTTTTTCAATATTGCCATATCTTTAAGAAGTTATCTCATAAAATAAAAATAGAAATATATATCTATAATCAAATTATTTAAGTAAAGCTGCAAAATATTTTTCTGAAGAGATTTTTTTGAATTAAAAGTAAATTCATTTGGCTGTCCTTTATAAACAAGGTCTACTTTTAATCAAGTCCAATTACTACCTGAAAAAAAACAATTAAAATCAGAAACTTATATTATTTTTAAAACTTATAATAGTTTTCTATGAAACTTAGATCATAACATAAAATGTCTGATTAAATTTTTTGATAAAATCATTTAAATCAGAAGATCCAATAAAGTCTCTCAATTACATATTAAAAATCAACCAAATCAATTCAAATTTCCAGTTTTTAATTTAGATAAATTCTTAATTTTAATAAAGCAATAAGTGTAAATGAACAAATAAAATAGGTTTTAAATTTCACTTAAAATATTATTCTTAAAATGAAATTTATAAGGAATTATGAAAAATTTTCCAAATACATTTGAGAAATTAGATATTTTTGGTGTTCTCATTAATCATTGAACTGAAATGAATTTTCAAAATTGTTATATATTTTTTTAATTGAAAAAAAAATTTGGACATTAATGATAAAAAAAATAGAATTATTTAATTAAAGAAAAAAGAATCTGTTTTAAATCAAACCTTTTGATTCTCTAGAAATAGATAATCAGTCTATATATTTAACAATTAGAATAGTTACTTTAAAAATGATGATATATGGAGGTTTTCTTACTATAAAAAAAAAGCATAATATGATAAAATCAAGCTCTATTTAATATTCAATATATTGGACTAATAATAATATTATTTTATAAATTATTAAAAAAATAATAATGCCTCTCGATTCTTTTTTAATCCAATATACCAATTTTGTAAATTTATATCAGTATTTTTATGAATCAGATTTATAGAGAGCATAAGTTGATAAAATAAAATGATTTTACCTTAGATTTCATTTCCTCATCTTATGCTATACATCTTTCTAAATCTTATTAATCCTTTAAGATTAAAATATTAATTATTTTTGATTATCTTCTTCTGTTAGTTCAGTTTAAATTGTTATAAGTTTCTCGATACGAAAATGTAATTTATTTGTAGTATGTAATGTACTCTTGTCCATGAAGCAAAATGTTGATTATGTCTCCTTCCTTATCTTTTTTACCTAAGATGCTTTTATATGAATTTCTGAAATTTCTTTTTACTGGATCTTTCCATGTCTATAATGTTATTTTTTAATTCCTCATACCATTAGACGAATTTGGGTTGTTGAAAATATATGGGGATAAGGTCCGCTTTATGTTCAGAGGTCATTTTAAGTAAGTCGACAATAATAAAATCTTGGTCTATTCTTTGAGTTTCCATTTCTTTTATTTTAAGTTCCAATCACAAAAGATGTCCTTACCCTAATTTGAAATCATCAACAATAAAAGTAAATTAAATATATATAGATCTATTTTTAATATTACAATAGAATTATGAATAAAAATAATATAAAAAATAAATAAATTAAGAAATTCTAATTATATAAAAATTTATAAAAGGTTTCTTTTGCTGCAAATGTTTAAATTATATGTCTAATTTTACTCTACTTTTAGAATCTATAATATTTCTAATTTATGATATGAATCGGCATTTTATTAAAAAAAGAATTTATCATTAATTTGAAAAAAAAAATGGAAACAAAATTGCATTGATACATCTATTTTATCTCTATTAACAATACCATGATCTATTAATATAGTGATTCTATAAGGTTCACCATTTTACATATATTGAACTGCCCATATTGAATCATTCATCTTTTGAGAAATATATAACACTAAATTATTCAATTCTATTTTCAAAAATTATTCTTAAAATATTGCACTTTCCTCCTGCAATAAAAATAGGAGTGGCAGATATAAAATGATAATAAGATATAATTATACAAGTACACTAGTAAATATTTCTGTTCATCAAAATTATTATTAAATTATTGAAATAATAATACAGATTCACAAATTCTTGATTCCTTAAATCCAAGAGTCAATCCTAACATAAGCAAATTTAAATGTCAGAACATATTTTTCTAAACTATTTTAGAAAAAGGTATTGTGTAAAGATAATTTTTTAATTTATTAAATTAAATTAGAATTTCTATAATTATCAGAATAGAAATAGTTAAATTATAGTTTCACCTATGAAAAGTACCGAAAACTTCTACAATGACTAGAAAATAGTCAGGTTACTAAATTATAAATCTAGAAATATTAACTACCTTTAAATAAATCCTTTATTATAAGAAATACCTGACTCTGTTAGGTAATATGATATTAATTTTAAGAGAATTCAAACAACAAAATCAATAGAACAAAAAAATTCTCATAATTCATACATAATTTATAGAGTTTAAATTTGAACTATAATTTCATAAACTTTTATTGAATGTTTATTTAAATTAAATTTACATATTTAATAATTGATAAAATATTGTGGAATGTTTAGTTTAAATATTAGAAGTCATATCTTCAAAAATTTATTTATTTACAAAATATTTAAATGCAATTTCGAATTAATAGAAGTAGACCCTTAAAAATGAAATAAATATCATCATCCAGTATGATTTAGAATCCTCAGCAAATAAATATAGTAATATTAATTTTCTGTTTCTCTTTCTTTATTATTTTTAAACTCCAAAAATATCTACAAACTGCTCTTTAAATTGGATTTATTTAGAAATTGCAATAGCAAAAATCTACTACTGAGTATAGAAAAAGTTAACTCCTCTTTTACCAATCAAAATTTGACCAAAAAATCCAAATTGAAAATACCCAACCTTAATAGAAACACTTAAATTCATGGATGAGGTGTTAAAATTAAGACATCATAAAAAATTCTAAAATTTTAGATGACTGAAGAATAAAATTTTGTATCAATTTCCCCACATTGAAATAATTAAAAAGGAATAGTAAATTTCAAAGGTTTAGATGAAAAAATGAAAAAATATATTTGATGAAGAAGTATGAGATGTTGTAATTGAAAAATTTGGAAAAAACAAAACAAATTAAAAATTTCGCAATAGATGAGATTCATCTCTCCTAAATTCTAATAAGATGGGCATGTTATTAAGAGTTCTAATCCGAGGCCATGTCTAATCTGCTGGGCAAATATGTGAGTACAGCCTATAATAATGTATGATTCATGAGCTTGGTAAGCTCGATATCCAAATTGAAGCTTATGAGAAAAGGTAAATGAGAAATCTAGCCCGATAAAAATAGGGAGATCTATGATCCTGAGTTCTTGGCCTTTTTCAAGATAACTCAGTTAACTTAAATGTAAAGCAGTGGCGCCGTGATGATAATGTCTACCTGGTTTGGCCACCCAAGGATTCTGAAAGATTTGAAGAAATATTTAGGACTCATAAAAAATTTAATAATCTTTCAGAATAACATTAATCATGTGCATATTAGAATTTTCTAAAAAAGGGATAATATATTTCAAATTTGTGGCTTTGAGTTTATTGTCTTAGCAATTATTTATAGTTGTATTATAGAGGTTCCCTAATTGTTTCCATTAATTTTTAAGGCAAAACTTATAGTTGTAATGTTGGAATAATGAGAAACTACTTTGTCCTTTAAAGTCATCAAGGAAGAAAAAATGAAAGGAACGAAAAAAGTATAATGAGTTTAAGAAGATTAACCTTCGAAGAGAGCTAATTTAGTGGTCCGAAAATTGATCCTGCTAGTCTGCTATTTGTTATTCTTTTTAAAAAGAAACATCCATTATTAAAAAGCCATCAATCACTAATTAATTTTTAATTGAATACAAAGTACTGAGGTTATTAAAAAAATGCAAAAATTAAAACTAGCAAATACTATAATTTCACTAAATAAATATCAAAAATACTCCAATTTATCCTTTGATGGATGAAATAAGATATAAAATAGACTCATAGAGATTGAGAGAAGTCAAATGATGACAGTAAGACTCATATTCAAATTTAAAACAATAATTCTATTATTCACAGTATTCAACTAGATAAATTAATTATTCTGATTAATTTAATAGTTCAATTTATAAGTAAGACATTATTATCCATCTAAGCATATATCAAAACTAAATAAATTATCATAAATATTAAAAGAAAGAATAGATGCTTCACATTATCTAGATTCATTAATAAAGTATCCATCTTAAAGAATTTCATCAATGCAGTTGATAAATCCATGAATTTCGTCTAATTAATTTCGATTCATATAGAATAACATTTTTTTTTCCGACTAAAAGAAAGAAGATTATTTTTTTTTAAATAATTCTCATGAATTAATAATTTGTTGATTCTCGCAAAATTTTGAACTGCTATCACTTTTTCTAATTTAGAACCTAGTTTTGTTATTCCAAAATGCCACATATTTACATACATTTAAAATTTTTTAAAGAAACTTTTTAATTTTTGTTATCCCTGATAAAAAGGATAAAGATATCATAGTGAAGAATATCTTATGAATGCTTAAGTTTCAGCCAATAAAATGTTAATTATATTAATGAAAAAACTTCATTATGGTATTAATCTACTTTGATAAAAAGTTGACAATATAGAGGGAAATAGCAATTATAATTGTATCAAAAGATATTGCAAATAGTTATAGTTTAGGGAAAATTGATTTAAAAATTCCAATAGCTTATAAAGTGATTTAGGGGAATATAATGTTTATCCTTACATTCTACTATTATTTAGAGTATTATAAGAACATTATTAAGATAAAAATTTTATGATATTATTAGACAACTGCCTTTTTTATAAGATAAACACAGAAAATACTGAAGTAAGTACAACGCTGTATATAATACCTTAGCATTTCTTTTGATAATTATTCTTTCGATTCTGGAAGTGAAAAGTCAAAATAATTTCGTTTTATAAAATCAAGGTATCCCACTGATATTGAAAACCTGAAAAAAATTAAAAAAAATCCAAGTTTATTTTTAGCATTAAATTGCAGCTATTTTTATTTATCCATTTCTTAGAGTCAATATATAAATTAACTCCCCATAATTATATTAATTTCGTTAAATTTAGCCATAGAAATTATATCATTAATTAATAAATATAATTACCTTAATCTAATGATTTCTCCAAAAGCCACTAATTGATATAAACCAAGAATATTAACCCTTGAGGTGTGTTCAATTATTAAATCATACCTTTAAAGCATTAAAGGATGTTTAAAATTCTACACATTAAAATAAGTATTATATATTATTAAACATTAATTTAAATTTACAATAGTCAAAGATCTTTTGATTGATTGAATTAGAAAATTACAGTGTATTATGGATTTGGTTCAAATGATTTTATATTTGGACCTTCTGCAAAATGAAACTTAAATCCTTTTGAAATACTCAAACACTTATTTCTGATTATCTATACATAATTAATTGCCCAAATTGGTGCCTTGGTTTTTATTTCTAATATATAAACAAAAATTTATTCACCCATTAATATTTGCAATCAATTTTATAGATCAAATGAAAACCCTTTTTTTTGATTAATCGATTTAAATTGTAATATGGATAATTTATGCGCATATAAATTCTCTTATGTCTTATTGTCTGTATATAGAAGTCTTAAAGAAACTATGTTAACAAATTGAATTGCTTTTATTGATACTTTTCTTTTTAATCTGAATTAAGTTACATAATATAAAATTTCTCTAATTAAATCAATTGATATATTGACCCTATAAAAGCATATTATCTCTAAATATTAAGCTAATCCTTTTCTTGAAATATGAGTCTAATTAAAATATTGACAATTATTAAATATTTAAGATTAGTAGGAATACGATGTCTCATAAATATTGGTTGATTGTTACTCTGAATTTTCTTGTATATTTATTCTTTTTTATCATATAAATTTTGGAGACTGTTAATCTAAATTATGTATTTTAAGTCTGCAATGCGTAAGTTAATTAAGGAATTTATTACGATCAAAAATACTTCGTATATTTTTAAATATCAATTTTAATAAAAATAGGAAATGTAAATTAGATGTACTTAAGCAGATCATCTAAATCAATAAATAATTGGGTTTTGTATAGATAGTACATGCC